CACACACAATACACACAGAAGTCCCAAATACGAAATAGAGAAAGATAAGGGGGGTGAGCACAAGTAGGTACACTTAATAGTACTAGATTTTCTTCTTTGGATAAGTAAATACTGCTTTGATCTCCCAAATAAAATGTTTCCATCCAAAGCTGTCATGTGGTCCTTCAGAATACTTAAATTTGGAAGCTCTTTTTCAATTGTATGTGCAGCATGGTACACCTAACACCAACTATCTAAAAGGAAAATTGGATGCCAGCAACAAGAAACCTCCTGTTTTTTCCTGAAAATATTATTGATGATATAAAAATTCCAGTGGCTAAACCTAGGCGAATTGGAGCATTCCGAGAGTCACCGTGACTTCAGGCACTGCAGGCGTATCGAGGTCGAGGAGGTCATGGGGGCTATGCGTAAGATGAGTAGGGGCAGAGTGACCGGGCCAGACGTGATTCCGGTGGAATTTTGGAAGTGTGTAGGGAGAGCAGGTGTGGAGTGGTTGACTGGGTTGTTTAATGTTATTTTTAAGGCGAAGAGGATGCCGGATGAGTGGAGGTGGAGTACGGTGGTTCCATTGTATAAGAACAAAGGTGATATCCAGAGTTGTAACAATTATAGGGGTATCAAATTACTGAATCATACCATGAAAGTATGGGAGAGGGTGGTTGAAGCGAGAGTGAGGATGACAGTGTCATCCGACAACCAGTTCGGGTTCATGCCGGGTCGTTCCACCACAAAAGCTATACACCTTGTTAGGAGGTTGGTGGAACTGTACAGAGAGAGAAGGATCTGCACATGGTGTTTATTGATCTAGAGAAAGCGTATAACAAGGTTCCTAGAGAAGTTCTCTGGAGATGCTGGGAGGCAAAAGGTATGTCGGTTCCTTATGTTATGGCAATTAAGGACATGTAAGACGGGGCTAAGACTCGAGTTAGGACAGTAGGAGGGGACTCTAAGCCTTTTCCGGTTGAAATGGGGTTACACCAAGGCTCTGTGCTCAGTCCGTTCTTATTCGCCCTGGTGATGGATGCGATAACAAACCATATTCAAGGGGAGGTGTCATGGTGCATGCTATTCGCCGATGACATAGTTCTGATTGATGAGTCACGAGCCTGTGTTAACGAGAGATTGGAAGTTTGGGAACAGACTCTTGAGTCTAAGGGTTTCAAGCTAAGCAGAACGAAGACGGAATACCTCGAGCGTAAGTTCAGCGCTGGGCCGGGGGAAGTGGACGTGGATGTGAGGCTTGAGTCACAGGTTATCCCAAGCAGAGGCAGCTTCAAGTACCTTGGTTCGGTTATCCACGGGGGAGGGGAGATCGACGAGGATGTCACACACCGTATTGGGGTAGAATGGATAAAGTGGAGGTTAGCATCTGGAGTCTTGTGTGATAAGAGAGTGCCAACGATACTCAAAGGTAAGTTCTATAAAGCGGTGGTTAGACCGGCCATGATGTATGGGGCTGAGTGTTGGCCTGTTAAGAACTCACATATCAAAAGATGAAAGTAGCAGAAATGAGGATGTTGAGGTGGATGTGCGGGCACACTAGGATGGATAAGATTAAGAATGATAATATTCGGAAGAAGGTGCACGTGGCTCCCATTGATGACAAGATGCGGGAAGCGAGGCTCAGATGGTTCGGGCATGTACAGAGGAGAAGCCTAGATGCTCCAGTAAGGAGGTGTGAGCGGCTGGTTGTGGAAGGCACGAGAAGAGGTAGAGGACGACCTAAGAAGTATTGGAGAGAGGTGATCAGGCAGGATATGGCGAGACTTCAGATTTCCGAGGACATAACACTTGATAGGAAGTTGTGGAGGTTGAGTATTACGGTTGTAGGATAGGAGGTAGTTGAGTCTTGCGTTACTTTGTACCTTTGTGAGCCTAGTCCGGTGGGGTTTTGTCTAAGATCGCTAGGGGCAATGTCGTGTCTTACTATTTTCTATTTTCGACGCAGGATCCATTTACTAGCCATCGTTTTTGCTTTGCATTTTTCTTCTGCATTTTATGTTCCTTTTTCCCTATGATCTCCATGGTGAATCTAATATTCTCTCCTTTTGTCTTCTTATTATCTTGAGCCGAGGGTCTTTGGGAAACAGCCTCTCTACCCCTTCGGGGTAGGGGTAAGGTCTGCGTACACACTACCCTCCCCAGACCCCACTTGTGGGATTTTACTGGGTTGTTGTTGTTGTTGTTGTTGCTTCTTAATGTAGAGCCTCAACCAAAAATATAGGAAGGCCTCTTATGCAAAGCCTTTAGAATGCCCCTGATTGGAAGGATAAAAAAGCTTACCGTAATTACCAAACATTAATAATAGCTTTCTGCTTTACCGTCCGGAGAAAATAGCTAAAACAGAAAGAAGGGGTTATCACAACCCACTTCTCCCTCCAGCCAACGGAAGAAGATTTTAAAAAAAAAAAAAAAAAAAAGACAACGTGACAAGCAGAAGTTCTAATTACCATCAATTCAGCGTGAGTTTTACTAGCTGCTAGATCCCATAAAATGCAGCCAGATTCTTCCCAATCCTCTTCTCGGACAGCTACATCCTCGTGCTTATTTTGGAAATACAACTTGCCATCAACTGATTGTTCAACAAAGTTTTCAGCGGTTTTCATAGTTTCAGACACATGAATAGGCGATCTCTTATCTCCATTTTCAGTTGGAGATGATGTTATCCTGAAGGCTTCAGTCTTTGGTCCTTCAGTAGAGGCATCATGAGCATCATATCCAAGAGATATCTCTCCACACTTAACATTTGCTGGGAGGAGTTTCCGGATTAAAGATATTATATAACTAGGATCAACTGTGGTTGTTATATCAAACAGCTGCAAAACAGAACATAACGCTTTATGACAAGAACCCAAAAATTGGGAAAAGAATGCTAACACAAATACAGGAGTTATGTGTCAAAAACTTTTGAGCAAGAAGTAACACGTTCATCATCTCCACCTTAATATAAAGAAAAAATATGACCTGCAGACAAAAAATCGAAATTCAATCTTCTACCATTGATGCGTGAAGCCTCTCTAGTTTCAGTGTCGAAGAAGCCCACACATGCAATTGTAGTCAACCCTCAACTTATCAATGTTATGCTGAGAAAGAAAAGTTCCAAAGTTTCCTGGATTACACTTGGTGCCTGTCTTGGAGAACTTCCTACCACCTACCAGATATTCTTGCATTCCGATAATGTATAGAAAGGCCATACTTTGCATAAATATATATTACACTACCATTAAGATTCTTGTCAGTCTAGAAATAACCACCTTTGAAAATTTTATTAGCATTAGGATTCAAAAGTTCCAATCATATCGTCAAGGTCATTTACGTCAAAATAGGTTAGTAGGTCAATGCTGGTGAATTAAACTTTCTGATTGGCCAAATATATACACGGTCATCTTAACTTGTCTGAATTTTTCATTTAGACACTTAAACTTCGGCTGGTACCTATGAACACCAAAACTCTTCCAAAAGTGTACCACTTAGACACATTTTGCTCTAATTTTGGCGAGTCGAACATATGTCTCGATTTTAGACACTTTCCATTTTGGGACGTCTCAAATGTTCAACGCAATTCGATATCTATGCAACTTTCACATCAAAAGTTCAAAATTTTAAAACTTTGATCTTTCAAACTGACTTTTCAACTATTATTGTAATATTTTTCTTCCATTATAACTAATATAATATATAAATCAAATTAAAATATTAAACTTTGTTTCAGTCAAGCGCTGTCATATGAAATGGGACGAAGGTACTATGTTACGCGATGAATAATGAGCTGGATCAGAGCTGAAGAGGTGTTAGTTAAGCTGACATGGAGGTACATAACTTTGGGCAGAGAAGTTTGTTAAGAGTTGGTTAGTTCAGTTGACGGGAAAAACGGAATTCTATCCATATTTGATTCATTTTCTGTATATAAACCAGGCTACAATTAAGTGATAATCAATAAGAACAATTTCCCTTGCTTAGCAAGTTAGCTCCTTTTCTCTCTTTCCTGCCAAAATATCTATGAAATTTCTGTTTTCCCCATTTTCCCCATTTAGTTGATCTGATTTCCGAGCCTCTTCTTTATTTAGCTCCTAAAAAAATGCAGCAAATGTAAATTTGCCGGGAATTAAAAAGAGAACTGAAATTGACGGATAGGACCCTAATTACTTCGAAGCACAGCCAATTCTAATATACAGTATCAGCGGAAATAGTTATTCTTTTGTGTACAAATGCAAAACGAGTGGAGCCACATACATGTATAATTCAATGTATTTCTGAGTGATGAATAGGTTTTCATGGATTACCTCATCGGCAGGGGCAGGAGGGTGATGAGTATTGCTCTGGAATTCTTCCGCCAGTGCTTCTTCGTTACGTTCAGAGGGCAATTCCGGTGGAATTGACATAGCTGAGCTACAGATTCTAGGGTTTTCGCGCTCTTTTATCTTTCTTTTCCCCTTTTAAAATGGTGGAATTGACGGGCGGAGTTTATATAGCGGACGGTGTCGTTGCATTTTTTGGGGGAGTTATTATAGTTTAAAGTATTGTGGTATACTTATTTTACTTTTTAGATTGGTTAACAAGCACTTTTGGCATCTTATATTGTTCATATTTAAATTTACAAAGTACAAATTGATGTTACTTTATATCGTTAAGCAATTAAATGTCTTTGCGAATAGAGGATATTTGATCATGATTAAATAATAAAAGTTTATCACAAGGATGTATATTACATACATTTGTTAGTTTAATACAAATATTATGTGTGACATATATATAAAAAATATTCTGGTTAACTATCCTATATGAACAGATTCTGGTATATTTTGTAAAGGGACCCAAACGTATTTGTTAAGTCAAAATACATACTTTAGCCATCGATTTTGTACTCAAATTCTTCTTACACACTTGTTAAACACGAGAATAGTATTACACATCAAAACTTTTAAAAGTGTGTCAATTACACATCTCTTTTGTCATTTGTCACACGCGTGTATTACACATAAAAGAGGCGCGTGAAAACTACAAAATTCATCTGAAATTAAGTTTTTTATTTTATTTTCCCGTTTTTAACTATTTTCTTTACTATTAAAGAAAAAAAAATATAACACATATTTTCTTCCCCAACCCACACCCCAGCGATTCCTCCTCGTTTCGTCTTCTTCCTCAACCTCCATCCTAATTTTGTATAGCCCCTCATATTTCGTCTCTTCAACCCCCATGACTAAGAAGAAAAAGAAAAGGAAGAAGAAAAGATGAGCTATTGGGTCTTGTAAAAATCACCATTATTGACCTTTTGAAGAAGCTTGAAAATTTAATCGGGTCTTGTTAATTTTGGTGTTCCATGACCTAGAAAATTAGTTTGAATTCATGATTATTGTTGAATAAAAATTTACTTAGGTGATTAGTTTTGATAAAATTCAAAAAATACCATTAACAAGTTTGAAGCTTTGAGTTTGAGCTTGATTTTGAAATTTCTATAAGGATTTGTGATGGATGTTGTTAAAACTTATTAAAAATCGGGCAAAGAGTTGAATCTATAGTTGGGGAAGAAGGTGCTTATAGTGAAAGGGTTGGTGGTAGTATGGTGGTGGTGGAGAAGATGATGGGGTTGGGGAGATGAGGAAGGGTGTGTTTTTTTTCTGTATTTTTTCTTTGGGAAGATGAGGAGTGGGGATGGGGGGTACAGTTTTTTTTTCCAGTTTTTTTTAACGATTTATGACACGTGTCAGATGCTGATTAACGCGTGTAATAGCAATCTTTAAGTAGATGTGGTCAAACATCGAAGTGGTGTGTAATTGACACACCTTTAAAAGTTTTAATGTATAATATTATTCTCGTCTTTAACAGATGTGTAAGAGGGATTTGGGAACAAGATCAATGTGTAAGTATGCATTTTGCCTATTTGTTAATAATGGAGGTGGTACATCCTTTTTCTTAATCACCTAAGGTCCAAAAGCAAAGGAACTACAGTAAAGTCACCCATAGGCGCACTATAGTGACTTCACATTTATCTTTTTAGATGGCACGTTATCATACTATATATCATTTCCGATACCTATATAAAGCTAAAGGAAATTATTTTGACACATTGTTTGAAAATGATATTGGTCAACAAAATGTTTTATATTTAGACGCAAACAGGGAGAAAAAAATTAAGTAAAGAAAATGGATCCACTTTTATCAACAAGTAGAATTTTCTAATAACATGTGGCAAAGAATTAAGGAAGGACGCATGCTAGGAAAAGTACGTTAAATCGTAAGATATCTTTGTCTGCCCCTTTAGCAAACTCAAGATGAAGGCAAATCTTTTTTTATTATTTAGGTAACACCATATAATGATTTTCTGTTGTCATCTTACCCATGATATTACCTATATTTGGAATACTAGCTAGTGAAAACCGAGATGATGCTTCACTTTAGTTATTAGTAAATTCTGAGTTGAAAGCACATGCCTTCAATTAAATGTAACGTGCACTTTTGATCCCTTTACTTGTGAATTATCATAAATTCACTATAAAATATTAATTATTCTACCGTAAGTACCCATTTTATGTTAAACTTGTACTATTATCTCATATCTAACTCTAATATTATTTTAAAAATAATCCATTTACAACATATTTCTTATATAAAGGAACTAAAAATTGACCTTTTAATTATTTGAGGGTTAAATTTGTTGTGTCATATATCACAAGGACCAAAAATCAGAATTTACTTGAGGAGAACAAACGTGCTATTATCCTTTTTAAATTTTAAATTTTTATTTATTATAAAATGTTATGTTAGTCCGCTTTTGAGTAAGCTTGTTTATCCGTAAAACGGTATAGTTGAATTTGTAAGGTGATTTATAAACACATGAATTAATCTAATCCAAGAATGTCAAATAACTAAGAACAGAAATAAATTAATTAAAAAATTTTAAAGAAAATACAAGCCTGGCGGTGAAGTGAACTCCACTAGAAGCAAGAACAAAGTATAGAGTAGAAAAAATGTTAATAAAACAAAAGTAAGTTTAGCTTTTTTTGCGTACAGATATTTTATTTCTACAACGAGTATAAATTCTTCTATTTATAGCTAAATTTAGGGAGACAAGATCTCCAAATCAAGCTCTTCTTTAATATGAATAAGACTCCTCTTGTTGGATGCATAACGGATGGGTATTAATGTAAAGATTCTTTGTAACGGCCGCTCTTTGAATGCTGCCTTCTCCAATCGATATCTTCCTTTCAAATTTTTGTCCTCGGTTCCAATGTCTTCGAAACTCACACAACACCAGTCATATGCTCGTAACTAGTGCCAGCTATTTGCAGACTCATATCCTACATGTCTTTACTGTCACATGTCAACTCGCCGAGCATCCACCTGTCATTCATCAACTTTACCCCATACAGATAGTCTCCCTACTTTCCAGTGACTAAACTTTATGGTACTAGGAAGTAGATAAGACTTTTTTTCTTGACGGGAAAGTTCCTGAACGGTTTTTGATACTTGAAAGGACGCACGTCTCCTTGCATTAATGAGTCGAATACATGTTATCCTGTGATTCATCAAACACTTTTGCCAGTTATCTAGGTAATGATGGCCTTGCATTTTGTCGCCTATAAACTGGTCCCTTCTTATCATTTTTATTTCTCACTTTTACAAACCCTTCTTCTTCGAATTCTTTAGAGTTTTTCTACAACTCCCTCTTTCTTAGTAAACTTTCATACTCACATTCTCCATCACCATGTCTTCTACTATCTCTTCCTCCAAAGAATAAGTCCAAAGAACTCGATCCTCCTTTTACTAGCACAATCATCCCTTCTCAACTAAATTGTGATACAGATCTCCAAGTTCAAAAAGAATCCATAACCCTAAGAATGACAGAAACAAACTCATCAATAGATATCCTTCTTCCATTTGCCCTGCTAGTATTCCCGTTATAAAAGAAGATTGTTGCTAGAACACCATTGAAATTTTAGCCCCTAATAAAGTGAAAAATATCACTTTCAGTAACCAGGGTACATGTATATTTACACGTACCCTTTCACTTTAAGGATATGCCAGGATATTGATCCCATCTTCTTAGAATTTTGCCCAAACTACCGAGTTTGCTTAGCTCAAGCCGCTGCATCAACATGGCAAACGGTAGCTTGCATTCGGTTTCTGTGCTCCAAGACTGGTGATGTTGTGCCCCCTTTTTTCTCCTTTCTGACGGGGAAGTCCGGGTTTCAACATTCATGGTTGAACAACTCGTTTCCTTTTGGGAATTGGGTATTTGAAGAGTCGCCACCTAACGGATTAAGGTGCGTTAGGGCACCTAGAGCGATTAACTCATGTACTAGTTTGCATTACCAGGGATTAGGGTAAGGGCTCAAAATAACCTTGAGGGGAAGGTGTTAGGCACCCCTCGTGGTCCACAACGGTGGGTCCCATCTGAACTTAAACTATGTGAATTAGTCATTTTACAAGTAAATAATTTCAATACATATTCGCAAATAAAGGCATGTTTTCACATTCTAAGCACATGTATGATTCAAGTAATGGAAGCAAGGGAGAGGTTTGAACAACTTGCATATATATATATATATATATGAAAAGAAAAGGAAGTTCATTTAAACACATAGGAATTGGGAAAGAGGGGTCCCAGGTTGGTTTGCCTACATGATCATACCCACTCAATGCCCGGTAATCACTCCTCAATGAGGGGCTACACGTGACATTAGCCCGCAGTCATCATATTCTTTACTACCCAATTCCCTCCCATTGGTCATAGCCTAAAACGTTCTAGCAACCTAAAAGATATCATATGCGTGCATTACCCGTCCCTTCCTTGTGGCCCTGGAGGTATTTAGAGCCTCTAATTTAGGTAGTTCTAGACCATCCTAAGGTACTTAAAGGAGAAAAATCTAGCTGGCAACCAAAGCAATTAGGACTGAACTAAAGAGAGAACAATTAAAGGCTCACGTTTTACCTCCACAAACAGAACAAGTAAGGCACGTCTCAAACAATAGTTTTCAGATGTTTAAAAGAAACCCTAGAACAAGATATTTAGGTGAGCAGAGAATATGCAGTATTAAGTTAGGACCAAAGTGTCAAAGACCTACTCAGTTTGCGTGCTGATTTTAGACCTGTTAAATATGAGCAGTCACAAATAATCTGTAGCTTTACAGTCTGTAGGATTTTTAATCGCCCTATAGGCTTGCCTAGGCGTGTAATAATGATGTCCTATGAGCATAATATCTAATCAGGAATGTAGTAAATCAATAAACAATTTTAAACGAGCAATTTAGATCCTATAGACATGCTTTCTAGTGATATTAATTAATACAACATTGAAGAAACGAGTAGGTTAGTTAATTAAACTGATTCAGAACCTATAGGCACGATTTATGTAATTATAACTGATTTTAGATCCTATGGACATGGTTTTTAGTTAAAACTGATTTTAGAATCCTATAGGCATGATTTCTAATTAAAACTGATTTTAGAATACTATAGGCATG